CTGTTCGACCAACGCCAGTAGATCTAAACGCCAGTAGATCTGGAACACCGGTCATAACTTCTTACCTGAAGTTCAGTTCACCGCCTCGGGTCTCTGCTCCTCCCGTCTTTCCGTCATCCACCTGCTGGCCTCCACCACGTGCTAACGTTACTGAATCTGTGGAAGCTCCCCAATAGCCAGCACCAAACAACTGAGTTATTTTTACACATCTCCCAGCATCTGGCCAATCCACCACCTTTCAGTGTTTATACCGTTACGGAAAAAAAACCATCGGCCCATAAAAACAAAAAATCACCATCGGGCATACCGGATGGCCAGTCCAGCTATGCCCAGCCCTGTTTACATCTTCCATCTACACAGCTGTGATGTCATGGTGCTCATTAGGACCACTTATGTTTGACTTCAGAGCAGCTTCGGTGAAACACCGACATCGTCAGATGAACTTCAAGAAACCTGACACCTTTAGGAGTGATGCAACAGAATCGTCTGAAACATTTTGTTTGGCTGAAAAAGTGTTTGTAACATTCATCCCACAACTCATCTCTAAATAACAGCAAACTACTGATAATGATAATAAACTGCTAAAGATGTCACCATTAAGCCTGCAGGGGGCTCTGTACAGGGAAGTTCCCACCCGAGTCAGGATTTGGCCTCATACTGTGAACATTCAGAGGCTCAAAAAAGCTGGAAAAACTAACCTGTCTGCACTTTGAGGTGCTCCCACTAAGTTTTCATATTATAAAGGGAACGCTGTGCACGGCTTCATTAGAAGTGGGGCTCCACGTTTGATGCAGCAGATTTTGACACCAGATGCTCCTCCTGGGATTGAATCAGGTGAATGTGCAAACCTCTACAAAATATAAACGTATCAGAACAACAATGAGCTGCTCTGAGGGTTCAGGATGGACAGTCTGCTGCTGCAGGTGTAAGAACCTCAGGTCAGAATTCACCAAAACTCCTGAAAACTTTAAAGAAGGAAAAGAATCTGCAAACATTGTTGAGAAACCTTTGTGTGTTGTAGTGAGTCCAAGTATTAAAAAAACAGAAGCAATCATTGTGCAGGAATAAAATCTCGCCCTCATTTCCTGTTAGAGACAATTTTGTCCAAACTGAGGGTGGAGTCCCTCCTGAGGGTCACCAGATTCATTTTAGAGGGAAAAGCTTTGACTTCTAAAACAATCTTCACTTCGGTGCACTCCAGGAGCTGCACATCCTCTCCGGCTTCCTACAAACCTCTTATGGAGGTTTTCCAGCTGTGAGGTCAATCCTGACTGGGAGTTTTTGAAAGGAGAAACAGAAAAAGCAGCAAACAGATAAAAAGATGATAGGCTTTATTTTTTATACAAGACACACAAGACATTAAGAAACTTCCTCCGTGTCTAGTTTGTCTCGTCAC